AGGTACCTATTACTGTCAGTATGTTTGTGTGCTCTTTAAAAATGACTGAAAAACAGCTGCGGGTAAAGTATATTGATCGCAAGTGCTCAGTTTGTGATCATATCAAGGTTTTGTTCTGTTGATTTGTAATTTCAAATATTCGTAGCTTGAAATAGATGGAAATATGAAGTTCAGTAAAGTTAGCAACAGATTCACAGATTCGTATTTGCCAGATCAATAACTCATGTCATTATTACCTATTCGCTATTAGTATGACTGCTGTTACTATGACGAAGGCTCAAACAGAGCAGTGCTCATAATATCGAGCTAAAAAAAAAGAGAAAAAGACAGCTGTTAAACAACCTGCTTTGTATTTTTGTAGGACACACAGTTTAGATCTGTTTAGGGTAAGAGGTGTGAGTTATTGCCGACGGTTTATCACTGAATATCAGGAATATCAAAACAAAACCAACTTAGCTCCGCTCCTTTAGTGCACAGTGTATAGTGTATAGTGTGACATTTGGGACGCAGCTATTGTGTTTCACTGCTAAGCTAGTGGGAGAGCTTTTTACAGTGTGCCTTTAGCAGTGACACAGGATATTGAGTTCTATGGTACCTCCATGGTCAGTTAAAGACTCACAAGCAGAGAAATGTGTCCAGGTGTAGGCTTTTAAAAATAGTTACAATGCCTTGATTACTTGCATGTGCACCTTGCCTCCTTTGCGATAGTATGCTACTTGCACAAATGTACTGCAACATATGTCAGAAAACCCTCAGTACATCAATACTGGTTTTAGTCTGTAATTTCAGACTATAACCAGAAGTCTGAAATCTAAATTTTGATTATAGACTATAACCAGTAGTCAAACAAATCTGAATTTTGACACCATTACTTGGCGTACTGTAACTTGATTTGTTTTAAATGAATTTGGGCTAAAACCCTGCTCTGAGTGATCAAACCTCTCATCAACAGGACAAAAATCTAAACTAACCTTTCCCACAGAGCATGTTGTGTGGACAGAAAAATGGTCTAAAGGTTACTTTAGATATAAAAGCAAGTTTAAATCATTTAGATCTGATGGAAAACATGTTTGTCAGCAAACGGATGAAAGACTGAACCCCAAGTGTGTAAAATAAGTCAGTGAAAAGTGGAGAAGGAAGTGTAATGGTTTGAGTGTGCAGCTACAGTTAGTAAGGGAGGCTTGAGCCATTAATAATGTAATGTTAGAAAGAGGGAGATTAAGTGTGTGTGACATGACATATATGTTTCCCCGTCTCCTGCCTTTTACCTCACAGGTTAGGATAGCCGCAAGTCACAATGCTTTTACAGCTCTGCTGATTAAACAAGTCTGTTCCTAGAATCCCCATAAGCAAATATGTCAGAATCTGAACCGCGTGCTTCTGATTGACCAGTCAAACATATGCAATAGAGATGAATGAGTACACTAACAGCTTTCTCCAGACCAGAGTTGTGTTTGTCTTTGTAGAGGATCAGGGTTGTTTTAAAAGCCAGGATGTGACCGGCCTTCCTGTAGTGAAGGTCAAAATAGCACAGATCATTTCTTTCCTCAGACGAACTCAAGAGAATCAAGACTTCCCTGACGGCAGAGCGCAAGAGACTCTGTTTTTAAAAAGCCCAAGGCCAGTGTGACAGGAAGTGGTGTCAGTGACATATATAATTAGACATCCGTAGCCAAAACCATTTTTCCTCCAAGGCCTGTTATGGCTCAGCTCCTCAACACTCAACATGCATCATTTAACAGATACACTTTACACCCATCTTTTTATGCTCTCAATGAATCTATTCTTGAATACGCTCTTGGATCAGAGCTTCTTCGTCAATTATTACAGTCTGAATGCTTTATTACACTGGGCCATTAAGACTGGTCCTGCAATCATGTACACTTATATAGTGCTATTTTGTCATTTTAAAGCATGACAGCCATAGTTCACACTTTTTATTATATATAATAAATAATATTGTAAAAAGAAATCTGTGCTTCACAGAAGACAGCAGGATGAGTGAGGGTACATTAACACAACAATGGTGTACTAAAAATGGAAAGGATTATCCTTTGTGTGTGGGTGGGTGTGTGTGTGTTTTAAGTTTTACATACAGACAACAATGCTGTCAAAATAATCCCAAAAAATGACAGTATTTGGAATGTCGGACATTCAACGCGTCATTTATTATTTCTGGGAATAATATTTCTAAAGGAGCTGTTGACATGGAAATGAACCCATTTTTGGTAAAAGCACAAACAAAACAATGGTAAAAATAAAATAAAATAAAAAAATCTGAAAAATTAGTTATTTGTATTTATAGTGAAATGACACTAAGAGAAAGTACTGAACTCCTGAGAAATGTATTTAATACTTTATATAAAAGACTTTTGTGGTTATGGCAGCTTAAAGACACCTCTCATATGGAGAATGAAGTCATATATCTCAGGTTTGATTATTTTTCAAACACTTGAACAAAGTGTAAAAATCTTGAAGGTTCTGTGGGTCTTGTCTATCAAATCTGAACTTTATTTTGTATTTTCTATTGGATTTAAGTCATGTGATTTGCTGGCCCATTCTACAGCTTGAAGCATTTAAGAGTTTTCTTGGCTGTGTTTTGGATCGTTGTCTTGCTTAAATGCCACCCTGGTTTCATCTTCATCATCTTCGTAATGTAGATGAGCAAGGGCAGAGGGTTGCTGAATATCCAATGAGAGATTTCAGATGTTGTCTAGGCTTTCACTTCCTTTCTACTCCTCCCTTTCTTCATGTGTTCAATACCTTTCTACCTGCGTCATTTAAAGGGTAACGAAACACCAAAACACATTTTTTGAGCTGTTGACAGTTGTATATGTGTCCTACGCAGCTAAAAACACTATTAGGACACATATATTTCACTAAAAAGTGAAAATTGGTTGTTTTTGCGTTATTTCGACCAACTTCGTACTTCTGGTTCGAAACAAAATTTTTAAGCTGCGTTATAGCCATGAGATCTTAGCATGTATTGCAGCGTGTAGACTGGACGTCTGTGCCAGAGTGTCCCGTATTACGTCTCTGAGTGTGTTGCATTCATTCATGAGTAAGGCTTGGTTCAAACCAATCAGTGCGCTCCATTATGTATGCGCTGCAACTTCATTAATATGCATGCTAGCTTTCTTAGACTGTACCTGAAACAGTGTTCAGACGGCAGAGAGATAACACACGTTGTGTTGCCAAAAGTTGTGGGAAAAGAATAACAATTGTTTGGAGATACGAGTCGCGAGTCTTGCTTTCATAATGTGAAGGTTTTGTTTCATTTTCTCTCTATGAGAGCGCTGCTGGACTCACGTGTGGATCGCGACGCGTGGCAGAAATGTGTTTTTTTAGAACATTTTTTACTCGAGAGCTTTTCTCAAAAATGGTGAGATCCGGATTTGCTGCTCATCTCCTTTAAAAAAGACGCAGCTCCAGTATGAGCTCATTGTCCTGTCTACAGATTCAATAAGTGTGTGCGATCAGCGACCTTTCTTTTTTCATTCAGATAGCAAAGTTAAAGTTCGTATGGTCAGCAGTACTCTTTCAGTGTTTAAAGACAGACCTTAGTCAAAATGATTTCTAAGTTACTTAGTTTACACTACGTTAATATCACTACAATATTGAAAGATCCGTTGTAAATGCTGCTCTCTGTGTGTAAACATGTAAACATTGTAAGCAAACTATTGCCGACCGTCGTGTTGAATTTTCGCCGCACTTTGTGACAGAATAGTCTACACACGCCTGGCTTTCTGACCTACCGAGTGCATCTGAGTTGCAGAGAAATGCAGAGGCTTTTTTCTCTTATACGACATGAGGTATCAAACTTAAACAGGCTTTCTCCCCTGCGTGTGTGTGTTTGTTTTTCTTCGGTCAACAGCGCGTGCCCAAATGGTAACTCTCATTTTTATTCAAACCCTGCCCATTTTTCCTGACTTTTTCCAAACTAGAGGTGTGAAAACATCCTGCTGAAACGGGGGTTTCATGGCCCTTTAATTTTATTACACATAACTTTATTTGTAATTAATATGTTTTCTTTGCATATATGGATATTTAGTTGTTACCAACATCTGGTGAAAATATCAAGTCAACAGCACCTTTAGAAATATATTTTCTGAAAAAAGAAATGGTGACATGTTCAGTATTTTTCCTCCACTGTAAAATCTCAAAAGAAAAAAAAAAAGAGTTTCCTTAATTTTAAAATGGAAATAGAATTACGCAAAAGTATTATAATGAGATATGCAATGTTTGATTAGTTTTACAATACTGCAATGTCTGCATGAACACTTTGAATATGCAGGACTTTTGCCATGCAGCCCACGTGCGTAGTGGAAAGCAAACGCCAAAAGAGGCAGATATCAATGATGAAAATGATTTTATCAGAAAATGCTTACCAAATGTTTATTAAAATGCCTCAAATGTTTAGTTTACAATACCTATAGTTTTGTTTTACCAGTTGATTTGTTTTATAGAACCTAATAATTAATGTTTATGAGTTTCTTTAAGCATATGTTTTTAAATGATTTACATAAAAAATCACTTTGCCTTTAAAATTTATTTTCAAAAATATTGTAATAAAGAAAGAGTAGTCCAACACTTATGTACCTTTTTTATGAGAACAATTGTGTACCTTCATTTTAATTGTACCATAAAAGGTACAGAACAGTATCTTAAGAGGTCTTTTCTGTTCCATATAAGGTACAACTTTTACAAAGGTACAAAACTGTTCCTTAAGGAACATTATTTGTACCACCGTGCACCTTTTTTTCTTAGAGTGTATACATGATGTTTTCACAAAATCCCATTTTTGTTGTTTTTACATAGAATTTTTTTACATTAAAAATGTTTTTAGTTAAAAAAATAATGTGAGACAAAACAGCCAAAAATAAGCCTGAAACAAACAGTAAAACTGAAATACAAATGAATGAAAAATTATTGAAATGACAGAATTGTCATTTTTAGATTAAATTGAATTATACCCTACTGTCCCAAAGCAGATCACTCACCTGTTTGAGAGGCAGCAGCATGAACTCCTCAGTTTTGGATACCTCTACAAAGTGCTGCAGGACGTACTTATGAGCTGACTTAAGAAGGTCGCTGCAGGAGTGAGTGTCTGCAAAGCCGCGGATGCCCAGGCAGTTTGAGGGGTCCAGCTGGCTGAGGAGGAATTTACAGCAGGCATCTCTCACTCCATTGAGCTGCAGAAGACTTGCTGCCGGCAACAGGGTCTGCTCCAGACAAGATACAGAGGGTCAAACAAAACTCATGTTGTAAGACATCATCAAACTCATTTACATCATTTTTAAAAAAATCAGTATTTGTGTACGATTTTCACAGTACTTCTCATGCTCATGCAAATATGTCTGATATAATCTGTCAATCCATATCCTTTGCAAATATTTGAGAAATACAAGAAAATGACAGCCGGCGTCTTTCTGTTCTTTCATGACTTAAATCGTTTGCTTAGTTTCATTTGGTGTTTGTTCTTGTGCTCTGATTCATAGCCAAACAGCCAATCAGATTACACCTCTTTTAACTAATTCTACACACTGTCAGCTAGGTGTCTCCAATTAATTATTAAATTAATCATTTCAAACACCGATAGAAAAGATTGAGCCTGTCTCATCCTTCAACTTCCAGGGGACCCACATCTCAAAGGACCTTTCCTGGACCACCAACACCTCCAGTCTGGTCAAGAAGGCTCACCAGCAACTATTTTTCTTAAGGCAACTAAAGAAGAACCAGCTTTCATCAGCCGTCTTGGTGAACTTCTCCCACTGCACAATAGAAAGCATCCTGACCAACTGCGTCACAGTCTGGCATTTAAGCTGCTCTGTTGCTGAGCATAAGGCACTGCAACGGGTGGTGACAACTGGCCAACGCATCACAGAGACCAGCCATAGAGGACATCCAGAAGAAACACTGTCTGTGCAGAGCACGCAATATTCTTAAGGATTCCTCTCACCCTGCTCACAGACTGTTTTCACTCCTGCCTTTCCGACTGGCGCCTCATGCTCCCCCGGACAAAAACCAGCAGACTGAGGAACATATTTGAATTGCATTATTGTATTTCTTTTGATCATTTGATTGTTAGCATGAATGCAAGATTTGCATTATACAATTAACATTACATTAGTTTACTACTAACCTGTGGAAAGTTGGGGCTAATCTAATGATTTAGCCTAATGTGAATAAGACAATAATATGATTAAGGTGTTTACACAAGTTGCTTTTTATATGTTCCTTTCATAAGCCTGTTTTACATGATGTAGGGCAGGGCAATTCAATTAGTTTGTCATGGGGGCCGGTTCATGAAAAGCATCCCAAACGAAGGGCCGGAGAGATATGACTTGCTATAAAAGTGATGACATAACTGCATATAAAAGCCCATATGCTGTATTTTTGCTCCTTAAGACACCCATGTTGGCTTTTTCTACATTCAAATGTTAATATATTGTATTTTGAAACTAGACTTTTTTTTTAACAAACATTTAAATGTTGTATTTCAGAGCCACATGTCCCACATATTTTTTTGACCGCATCTTTAGTCTAATGTAGTCAAATTGTAGTAAACTACAGTAGCTGCCGCATACAAATGTGTTCTTTTGAAACATCCCAGGTGTCAGAAGACCTTCATTTGCAAAGACGCAAATTGTACATTTGCATAAACCACACCATCTTGTTCAACAAACAAGATTACAACCTGATACACAGTAATTGTGAGTTATACAGTTTGCTCTTTAAATGACACTAAAGGAGACGTACCTGCACATTGCCTTCTCCTACTACGATCTCAGCGGTGTAAGCGTACTGCACCAGCTGCTCCAGAGCCTGAGGGTCAATGTCATGCAGGGTCACATGGGTCTGACGACTCTCTGACATCTCATCTGCACACAACACACACAGCAGTTTCATCAAACTGTGAAATGCAATTGATGTTTCAGAAGAACGCAGTTTCCCAGGGGGGCTGATGATGCTGTAATGAACCATTCACACATACAGTGTTCTTTGGAGGCCGCTGAGTGACTATACGATTTGTTGAAATTGACGTTCATATTATAAAGTTATTGGTGCTGCTCCACTGGCAAAAGCTTTCGAAAATGAAATCACAAATGTGGTGAACTTCATTTTGGGGTATCTTTATTGCTGAACGCTAGAAGTTACAGCTTAATTACTGTATTTAACCGTATCAGGTGGTGGTCACGGTCTGTGTTTATTTGCATAAATATTTGCATAAACACTGCTCGATTTTGTTGCACAGCCATCGTTCAGTAAAGTCTATAAGACAGGAAATCACTGTGAATAAATGACCCTTGAAACCATAGTTGTCGTTATTAACTAAAATGATTAAAAATGGTTTGTTAATTGAAATTATTTTCACAAATTTTACCTTTGTAATTGATTGAAATTATAAATACATTGAATATATATCTACCTATTAAAGAGCCATGAAACCCCCCTCTTTCGGTTCAAGTCTTTCTCTGGAGGATTTTAAACATATGGCGAACACGGCAGCACGGATAGGCGATGTGCCTGAATGGTAACAAACTCAACTGATAAAAGAAAAAGCCGCCATTCTCCAATTCTCATACAGCTCTCCTGACAAAAATGCTTGCTTGCTGTAAACCAACAGCTTTGCTGTATCAGCCTAGACAGAATTGCGGGAAAAACCCTGGGGTTCATGGAAACAAACACATACGACCCATGCTGCGAGCAGAAGCAGTCTTACCCATTCATTGGGTCTCACAGCCTGGCAGGTCTGCCTTGGCTTCGGAAAGCACATGCTTTCATGAATAATTAAGAAGCAGGGTCTTCTCATAGGATAAGAAAACTCAGCTATAAATATTAGTGAGAAACCGATGCGTCATTACTTAACTAGCAGATGTGTGCTACATCACGTGCTACTATTTTGATCCTGCCCAAAAAATTATTTTAAAGCCGGAATATGAAATTAGCTGACAAAAGCTCAAAATTATCCAGTTTTCCCCACAATTAAAGCTAACAGGTGCTAGCGTTGTCTTAACTGATGCTCAAACAGACACATATCTGTTTAAATTTAAAAAAAGGTACTCCAGAGTGTCTTGAACCTTTTATGAAATATCGAAATATATGAATTCGATTTCAAAATAACTCAATTACTCAAAGTAAAATTATATTAAAACTAAACTAAGATGATAATTCAAGATATTAATGAATACTACATATAAAAACTCCTTAATTGCTAAAATTCAATTTTCTTTGAAGACTCTTGATGTATTTTATACAAATGACTTTATTTAAAATTATTACTTAAACATACTGAAAATAACAATACTTCATCTTTAATTTCTGCAGTTGTGTAATGTCATTTTAGATCATTTTTATACTTTTTTTTCTATTTAGATTTCTTTTCATCATATTTGGGCAGACAGAGTAATTATTTGGGTTTCACTCAAAGTTAGTACAAATCAGTCAAGAGTTACGAGTTAATGTATGTTTAGTAACTGTTAGTTTTAGTATGAACAATGGAGTTGAAATCATTGCTTTGTAAGTAGACCTAGTGTATGGTAAGTTCAGAAGAGTCACGGCTCTAAAAAGCCCACACTGTCCTGACTCATACCATCACACTCTAGTCTGAGGTGCAGCGGGACTGACGAGCAGTAGGAAAAACCAGAAACCTGCTGACCTGAGACCAGGACAAAGAAGAGAATAAAGCATGGAACAAAAAAAATCATTAAGTGATGACAAAAGACAGGAAGGAAGGAAAGGCTTGAGAAGGAAGCTGAGGTAATGTACACATTGAAAATAAACACAACACAATACACAATACATCTTAAAGTGTAAAAATGTGTTTTTGAGACTTTTAAGTCATGTGTGTTTGTTATGTATACACAGAAATTCATCTTTTAAAGAACGACAGTACAGGCAGAAAAAAGTAATAATAACTGCAATTCAGAAAAGGACCTACTTGTAAACATGGCATGGAAGTATGGACTGCAGGAGGCCAGCACCACCTTGTGCGCCTTAATCTCCTTGTTGGCCACATGGAGTACGATATCGCAGAGCAGGCCACGCTGCCGCATGCGGTTCATGGACACGAAGGAGTCGTGGTAGTGGCGCTTGGAGTTGTGCGAGATGCTGTGGCCATCCCGGTTCAGCAGCTGCATACCTCCCTCCATCATGCCGGTGCTCTCCAAGGCCAGCTGGAGCCTGGGCCTCACTCTAAAATGCTACATGAAGAGAGAAATGCATGCTATAAATCAAACAAGGCATTTCAGTGCCACTGAGGTAAGGCAATTAGTTGGTATAACTGCAGTAGTTGGTATTACTGGCTGTACAGTATATGCATTATTTTCCATGTTTATTATAGAATTAAAAAAAAAACATGTAGTTCAAAAATACAGCTGCAAAGCGCAGTGCAGCAAGAGAAGACTTCATTGATCACATGTTGAGAGAAAAGAGCGATGATTATAGTGGAGGATTTGGTGTGCTAAAGATTGATCTTTAGCCAGTGTCTTGTGTTGTAATGTGCAGTTGGAAGCTCTGCTCTCTATACACAAAGAATGCCTGATTCATTGCAATTCAAAAAGCTAACGTGAAGTGAAAAATGACCAAGCAATCAAAAACATTTTCACTGCATTTACAGTTCTCTGATTATGAACCATTCATGAAACCATGTAATTCAACAAAAGTTTTTTTTTTTTTACAGTAATATGCAAATGTGTAATATCCCATGTTTATGTGATAACAATATTTGTTTTTATTAGCAATTTGGTTAATCATTTATTTATGTAAGGATCATGCTAAAATAAACAGGTTAATCTACTTCAGGCTTTTAAAAAATGTCAAGTTGCAAACAATGGGCTTTATGCAAAGCTAGTGCTTTTCAGCCAGTGATAAACTTCCGGTGAAATGGTTATGGGACTATTTTCAATTTCATCATAAGGTTCCCTTTCCAGCATCAATGTTGTAATGTAATTGAGATACAATCGGTTAAATAGATTTAAGCATTCATTTAGTTCAGGGTATATGCAGTAATCCTAAAGGTGGTTTCAATACATTTTTAAGACTTTTTAAAAACCTTCTTAGAAAATTTAAGACCTCATCGCCACTTCAAGTTTTAATCAGTATCAAACCTTTAACTTAATAACCAGTTGAAGTTAAATAAATAAGTTGAATGGTTGTGCTACATTGATCTCAAATAAGCTTGAAACAATAAATTACACAGTTGTTTTTAGCGACAGACATCAGTCAACGTTTAAACTCATCTTTCTCCAACCAGGAGTAAACAAACTTACATTTTGCCATCTGTTTCACTATATGTGAAGAGCGTCACATCACCTTCCAGCCTTTGTTGCAAATTACATGACACCACCCAGATTGCAATGGATACAAATCGCGTGGATCGAGCACGCCTTTGTTAGTATCAGAAGGAAAATAAATATATTTATGCTTTTTTTGGGTTCAAATACTTTGGAAAACGCTTGAGCAAAATTGAAGATCTCGTAAAACATAATAAAGACTTTTTAATACCTTTTAAGGGCCTTAATTTTCTCATAATTGATTTTTCAACTTTTAATACTTTTTAAGACCACGTGGACACCCTGTTTGTTTAAGGGTGAAACGAGATGAAAGACATCAGCATCAGGCTAGCGCAAAAACTCTTATTGAAAATACTAGGGTAAAATAAATTTCCATATTTTAAAGACATGGTGCGAAAAAAATTTCATTTGTATATTGTCTTTATTGAGTTTTTTCAAGATTTTACAATAATTCAAACCCCTAAACCCAAACTTACCCCAGACAGGATTATAATTTTTAAATAATAATCCTCATTGAAAAATCATAAAAAATAAAAAGAATATATATATATATATATATATATATATATATATATATATATATATATATGTATTAGAGATGCGCGGATGGGCTATTATTTCATCCGGAACCGCATCACAAAACTCATCATCCGTCCGCACCCGCACCCGCCCGTCATCTGCTGACTGAGCTCTTTATTTGAATGGCTTATTCCTTTTTATTATTAAATGAATGTTTCTTTATTGATTATTAGAAAAAAAGAGAATGCCTTTAATGACATGCAGTTAATCCAAACGTGCAAGTCAAATCCAGCATTAATTGACGCTTTGAAGTGACGCTAAACAATACGAGGACGTGTCTTTTCACTTGATTTGATTCCTCGGTTGGTCCTTGAGTCTTTTCCTTGCGTCCTTCCCTCGCATCCTATAGGGTTGGAAAGACGAGGAAAGAAAGCAAAGAAAGGAAACGAGGATACACAAATAAGAAATGAGAAGCACCCCTATAAAGCTCTCAGAATATCAGCAGTGAACTCTGTCTCCAATTGGCGCACAGGGACAAAAATAAATAAATAGCCTAAATTTAACGCACTGTACTGTACAATTTTTTTTTATTATTATTGTAGCCTATAAAACGCATTTTGACACATCATTTCAACATTCAGACGAGAGCGCCTGGCCTCTAATGCGCCCTGCTGCACTGAAGGAGCGCTCGCTCGCAGCACTTGTTGCTGAAATGCATAGAATTCTCTTGGCAAGGTGCTGTAGACGTGGGAATGACTGCCTTGTTTCTCCCAAAAGGAAAGTAGATTTTCCTCTGCTGATCCGTCTATAGGGAAGTTTGTAGATGAAGACTTCTGTACTTCATCCAGAATTAGTGTATCCGATTCCTCCTCTCATTTTGTGAAGTCAGTCCTAGGCTTTTTCGTTGGTGCGCCAGCTATGTGTACAAAAACAGTACAACCGCCCACCACCCGCCCGAATTTAATTAAAATATTATTTTGTCACGTCATCCGCCCGATCCGCGGCTTATCCGCGGTTGTAACCGCCATCCGCGCATCTCTAATATGTATATAAAAAAAAAAAGAATTATGAAAAAATGTAATTTAACGCAGTGCACCTTATCTAGTAGGACACCCACTTTATATCGTATATCAATCAGGCAGTGAAGATCCCTAATTTTGAAAGAAATCAGATATTAAACATGGCGATTTTATAATGGAGCAACACTACACCCGAAGCATTTGACCTTGCTGACTGGAAATAAAAGCCAGTGTGCATATAGCCCATTAGACTTTAAAACACAACTATATGAAAAATCTGCAGATGTTCTGATTCTTATAAAGTGTTGTCAATTCACTCGTTTGTCTCAGCACTTGCCGTTAGTACTTATTTCCATTTCTCTGCTCTGAGACGCTGTATGTTCACATTTGAATACTGCCTAATATTCTAGCATAACATTCTCCTCCGTAATCTTGATCTAATGTGGATAAACAACCTATGCACTGAAAACACATAAGCTTGGCACAAAATGGAATTTATTCGCACCTTCAAAACAGATGTTGCATATTACCACAATATTGATCCTTTCTTCTATGGAATCAAACCTACTAAAGAGCATTACAACCTTGATTTTAAACTAAGAAATGTATTGAAAAAAAACAGGTTTTTTATTTAACAGATTTAAGAACTACAATCCCTTTTTTGCTAAAAAAAAAAATCCCTTTTTAGCTCAGGTTGGTAAATACATTCAATCTACCTTTGGTTTGTGGCAGTAATTGCATATTTGGTTTTGGTTGGAAATAATAATCTTTTTATTTAATTGTACATCCTCAAGCACTGCTGTAAATTAAATATGGGCTGTTGGTTTTGATATTTTAAAAATGACCTGCTGTAACTTCATATCAAAATTAAGAAATAAGCAAAGACAGGGAATAAAAAGTGATTTCACTATAGTTTTTAAGAACCCGTATCCAACCTAAAAAGCTAACAATTAACTAACTGTTAGACATGTTTAACATCTAAACATGACCTGTTCGAACAATCTTTGAGTTATGTTCACCAGGCTGTAAATCCCTCTTAATTTGTGTTTTTTTTTTTTTTTAGTTTCATGTTCTCTTTTCTTACAGAATAATGGTACCTTCAAGGCATTTCAAACAACGAGTACAGAATCATAATGGCAGAAGCAAGCCAGACCGAAGCACTCAAGCATTAAATATTATGAAAATGATCACTTCACAAATTCCCACTCGTTCTACAGCTTACAGCTACATGAGATTTGCTCCTCAATAGTCAGTGGCATTTTCTGACTGGCCCGAGGCCTCGAAAGCTTTTTAAATTCAGTCTTTGGTGCACATAAAGACTCCGGCACACCCGCTACATAAATAAACCGGCTGGTTGATTTTCAAAATGAAAGCATGTTCCAGATGAAGGGACGAATGGTATAGAAAGGTTGGACCAGTCCAGGACACATCGTGATGAGTTGGTCCGCCAGCTGCACACGTTCAATTCTCCATCAAAAAAAGCATTGCTATAGAAACCATGGTGCCCACGGAAGCATGTACTGGTATCTGTCATACACTTCACGGTGAGTGGGAAGATTGGATAAAGCAAGGCATTTTTAAAGGAGGGCGATAAATAGCACTCCGGTTGACAACGGTGGGATTAGAAAACACCTTCAAGACAATAGAGTTGATGTAGGCACTGTTTTAAACTGGGTCAAATAAAACATTCGACAATAGTGATAAATAGAATGAATGTAGTTGTTGTTCCTAACAAACTGGCTCTAACTCTAAAGCATTACTCATGTTACACTAAATAACAGACGACAGGTGAAAGAGCATAAAAAGTGCATGGAGTCACAGGCTCAGCATTACAGCCAGCAGTCGTGTGGCTGGCCACAAAATGGCTGTGGGGTTTCAGATGTATAAATCCTTTAGTTGTACAAAGCAAACATTGTGGTTGGAAACCTGAGGTCACTGATAAACTGTTTAAACATGCAGACGAGATGAAAGTGTTGACAGCAGTTATCGGTAGGGCCAGACAGAATCTGCGGACATTTTTTGCTATTTCAGCTGAGAATTTAGTAAAAATCTGTGGATTTATGTGGAATTCTTTTGGGAGTATCATAACTAAAAACTTAATATATGAAAAAAATAATACAGTTTTAACTTTTGTTTAATGTTTACGATGCAAATTCATCTAGATCCACTTATTTGGTAAACAAAGCAAGTCTATCATAAAATATTTCTACTAAAAGACAAAACAATATTATTTTACAAACTGTATTGTGAGTAAATCATATGAACATTTTCATATTAGTCAATAATATTACTGAATTAATTGATAAACTGAATAAATAGAAATGTACACAGATTTACACAAGTAAATAAATAGACTCAATGATGGGCTAAAAATCTATGAAAATCTGCAGATTTCTGCATGCGCAGATTCCGTGTGGGCCTAGTTATCGGTAGTTTGGGACACACTCGGAACAGGGTTTCTATGCTATTCCAGCATTGCTACTGAACGGATGTTGTTTTTGATGGTTCATTATTAGAAGTGAGGCTTTTATTAAGGAATACTTAATTAAAATCTATACTAACTAACACTACCACTCAAAAGTTTGGACACTTCAAGGTTTTTAAAATGTTTTTAAAGAAGTCTCTGCTCACCTAAGGCTGCATTTAATATGATAAAACATTGAATTACAAAGTAATTATACATTTATAAAAATGTCCGTTAAAACACATGAAGCATAAATTGTTTTCAACATTGATAAGAGCCATTATTAACGACTGAGGAACAATAAAAAGTTCATAATAAACAAGCAAATCAGAATAACTTCTGCACTCTAAAAATTATTTTGATGCTTGTTCAAACTAATCATTTAAAAAAGCCGAAACAACACAACACAACTGAGGTTTTTTGTAATAACTTAATTTTTTGTTTAATCCACTTAAATTTGCAAAAACAGTAAAGTTAACTTAATTGATTTTTGTTTGGACAACAAAGGAATTGTGTGGAACCCTGCATAGTTACAGTGTGCAGAATTATGACACAAACAATATTTCATTCATTTTCTTTTCAGCTTAATCAGGGGTTGCCACAGTGTAATGAACAACCAACTCACCCAGCATATGTTTTACACAGCGGATGCACTTTCAGCCGCAACCCAGCACTGGGAAACACCCATACACTATTGCATTCACACCCAGACATACACTACCACCAATTTAGTTTATTCAATTCAGCTATAGCGCATGTCTTTGGACTGTGGAAAAAACTGGAGCACCCAGTTGAAACCCACACCAACACGGGGAGAACATGCAAACTCCACACAAAAATGCCAACTGACCCAGCCGGGGCTCGAACCAGCAACCTTCTTGCTGTGAGGCGAAAGCTCTACCCACTGCACCACCATATTTCACAACAATACTATTTACTATGGGTTTAAACAGCCAATGTGAGCAGAAGATTCCTCTTTCAAAAAACAAATCTTAATGTTTTCAACTTTTGACAGGTAATGTGAGTCATTGATACTAAAATAATGTGGAATGTTTCTCAAATAACATAAAAGTACAGCAAAATGAATAAGAATGTGACAGGTTCTGACACCTTGTTACAATCATTAAAGTCAAATAAAAATATATTATTTTTATGTAACTGCACAGAAGTAGCAAGAGCTGCAGTATGTAGAAATATGAGGAACATTATAGTTCCTACAGAAATGGCATTTTCTTTTATGATGCCAGACCAGCTGTTTCGGAGTTTACCGTACAGCTAAAAGACATTCCTTACAAACATCGCCAGTACCATCAAATCTGACTCAGCACACTGTGTGCCATCCAGACAGCATCTCTCTCACCCCTCCTCCTCTGTCCAACCACATCCAGCCCGATAACACTGACAAAAGCAGCACTACCTGGACTGACACACGCCGTTCCCTTCTGATTCTTTTCTCTGGCTTACGAAGAATATTTTGGACTGAATCCTACAGTGCAGCGGCTGAGCATCACAGGGTGTATAAAAAAGATGCATAAAGCCTCAGTTTGGGAGCTTGTGTGTTGTTGACGTAAATGAAAGCCGCATGAGTGCTGGAGGCTGACGTCATATTTTAAGGTCGCATCGGATCTTTGTTTTTGTTTTTAATAACCTCTCTCTAAATTGAGGTTCATGTGAAATTGCTTAAATTCAAACAGAACTGGAAAAGTATGTTTAAGCATTCGATAATGCTCGGTCTATAGTGTTTAAAAGCTACCGCACAATTCTCAAATCACCCTTCCTTAACAGATCTACAGTGATGAAAAATCCGAGTCATTTTCGCAATGCGGTTCCTATGAACAGCGTTTCAAAGATCCGATTCCTAAAGAATTCCGCAATTAACATTTTCCTCCAAGTGCTATTACTTTAATTTAAAGTTTACAAATGGCCATAGATATTTTCACGGTGATAATATAAATTATCGAAACATTATACGATAATATGTACGCATACGTTACCGTTAAACTGTCAAATAATTCAACATTTTTATAACACAAAAATAAAGTTAATTTTTTATTATGTTGTATAAAGATATTATTGTACTTCACTATTTAAAGGTTCAATACAATTTATTAACTATATTTCATACATAGATACAATTTAAAAAGGAGAATCATTTCAACAGAAAAAAAACATTTGAAAAGAATCAGACAGGGTTGACAAGCGGTTGAACAGATTCAACAAAAGATTCGACTCCAAATAATGATTCTCTTCAGAAAAGAAAATTTGTGCAGCCAAATGTATACGTACAGAGGGGTAAATATTTTCATGTCCGTGTATATAAAAAAAATCACAACACTGAAAAATCACAGAACCGAACATTAAAGTCGTTTATTTACAGTATAAATGAAATCAATTGGTGGTTGATCTCGTACCGTCTTTGTTCGGGGATTACGGTGCAGTCATAAAATTTAGTTGCACTGACAGCTGACGAAATAAAAACACCATTAAGCCCTCGTAACATTTTAAATTGTTTTTACACTACAGTATCTGTCGTTATGTAGTATTTCAAAACTCAATGAAGCATCTTTAAACACGTATCAATTGTAAAACTGATGACTGTCTGAACAAAGAGCACATTAATGCAATGAAGCTGTTTCATAACACTGCAGCTCTGAGATAAAGACCATGTGTTGGCATATAACATATTTCTCTCAGCTTAAGACCTAACCGATAAATTGCTTTCCTTGTCAGCTGATTTGAGTTGCATTTTGGTCTGGATGAGATCAGAATCTAAACTCACCTGCCGCCGTCTGTGTCTGACTGACAAGACTCGTTTCTTTCTGTGTAGCGCTCTCTCCAGTTTTGTCCGTGTTTTGTGATTAATTCTGATGCATGTGGTGATTTATTAAGCCGTTCGTGATGAGTTGACATGCTACATCACATGTCGCATCAAAACAGACGACTGTCTCAGCTCTGATCGGCATTGCTAAAAAAATAATATTCTGTTTAACGTGTCACGCGCGCCACAATTTGCACTGGCTTTGTAACCAAGGCAGTGACACATTTATGTGCAGTTGTGCTTTGTCTACCAAATAGAAAGGATTTTAGACAGTTTTTATTATTAAAATAAAAGTGAGGGCTAAGTGGTCATATTGAAAAAAAAATTAAATCTAGAAACGTTTGGTCATACACTATATGTCACATATTCATAGAGGCAAACAATCTATTTCAATCAGTAAAATGACAAATTACAATTACACGAACGACTGTAATTGAGTAGTTTTTCCTCAGGAATTGTAATTTACTAAGTAGTTTTAAAAATGTATACTTTTACTTTCAATTGAGTAAATGTTTAGTATCAATACCTTTACTCCATTATGTTCCTTCAGTCTGCAGTCACTATTTTTGTATAGACCATTTTAATATGTTATTGGCCCATGAACATTTCCTACTTATCAAACTATTTCATATCTGAAACAAGAGGCAATTCAATCATACCCTAATGTTAAAACAGCTATCATGACATTACCCATCAATGTGTGGCTCATTTTGGATTCTCGGAAGCTTTAGAAATTATAAATGTAAACAGGAAGTACTTTTGGGAACATTGTTTTAGTATACATCAGGGGTCTCAAACTCAATTTACCTGGGGGCCGCAGAAGGCGAAGTCTGGGTGAGGCTGGGCCGCATAAGGGATTTCACAAAAAAAAGTCCTCAAATGTCATTATTAACAGTTTTAATTATTTCTTCTGAACATGAAGTGTCCTGAACATTAATAGAACATTGAGTGAAGATTATGAACAGTTCTTCTGAACATGGCATCTTTTGCCTACTTCTTGCTGCCAGAGACTTGACAGCGCTTCTTCTCACAAATCTGAACCACATTTGGCTTTAGAGCGGAAGCAGTTGAGACCCTCAGTATGGCTTGAAGATGATCATCATTAAGTCTAGACCTGTACTTTGACTTATTGAAGTCCTAGGGAAAAAAGTGGGGGAACTCACTCGAAACTTCCATTCCCTCACCTAAAAAAAGGCGTATATATGTATAAATAAAACACCCCCACCCCACTCCAGTCACATCAGTCTGTACCAGTCTGTATCTACCTATAATATATATTAGATGCAGGGCAGGCACGTGCACACATAGAGCTCAACCTGTGCAGAGCACATGCCCTTTTTAGTCTTGCATAGTAAGTGCCCTTCCAAAATGATCAAAAGTGCCCCCGCGACGCGACACACCCTCGGTCCCGCCCTTCAGTAGGCGCGCGATAACTCCGCTCTTGAGTACGTGCGCGACAACACAGCTGATCAAAACGCGCGCGACAACGTGCATTGAGTGACAAGCGCGCTGTGTACGGATAGAATCAGCGGAGCGGGGATCGCTCTCTCTCCCCGCTCGCTGATTCTGTCAGAGTACAGCGGTCGGCGCGGGCCACAAAATATTGCACTGAGGGCCGCAAATGGCCCGCGGGCCGCGAGTTTGAGACCCCTGGTATACATCCTTCAAAATGGCCTTATTAGGGATTGGCTGAGTAAAAAAATCAGTCCTGCAATTCCCGTCCAATCAAATTCCACAAGTAAATTGCACCATACTGAACAACCTGAAGATGGGCACTTTATAAATGCAGTAAACCGCTAGGAAGTATTAAAAGTGTCCAAGAAGATGTCCAAAATTTTTACATGCAATGACCCAGAGACTGTTTAGTTTGCATGATGAGAAGATGAAGGATGTTTACTGTATGACTGAAATCATCAAGTGGCCTTAAACAATAACTAAATGCACTACATAATGTTATGTTTTCACACACACACATACAAATTGCAAGTAAACACTTCAACATTTTAATACTCACTACTCTTGAGTACTTTCAAAAGAGCTACTTTTTACTCATGCTACTAGTAATATTTACAACAGATACTTTTACTCACACTATTTTTTAACAGTATTTTTAACTTGAGTATGATTTTTTTGGTACTCTTTCCACCACTGATATTAATATTACAGAAAACAGTTCACTGGAAGCCCTTGGGCTGTGTGCATATAGACCATTGCTTAGGTACAAAAAAGCAAACTGGAATTAAATGTTTCAATTAAATGTTGTAAATGAATCAGATTTTTAAAATGTAAATACTGTTACTCGACGGAAAGAGGATTATGCAGAGGCAAATCAAGACAAAAACTAGTGTAATTCTATTATAAATTAGATTGTTTTGTTTTTACTGTAATAAGCTTATTTTAAAATGTCAAAAAATAGTTTAGTTCATAATAAACAGTATTTTCTAGTATTTTTTAAATATATATCATTAAATAAAATAAAAAAAATACCCAATGGCAACTACATTTACCTTTGGCCCACTAGTCTTAATCAAGTTTGGTTATGGGCACTTCATACGAAAAAGTTTGGTCACCCCTGCTCTAGCTGTTGACATTTTAGGATTACCAAGAGCCACACTTTCTTCTTTAGAGTTTAAAACGTCACCAACATCTTGGTTGTGTGTAACTGTACCGGGAATTTAGCTTTTATGGGAAAACTGGCAATTTAAATAAAAAGGACCTGAGTTATCGACCCTCTGCGTTTATCGCATCGTTAAACAAAAGATCAACTGAGCTGAGTTCCCTAAAGCGTTGCATTGTGGGTATTACGTCTCAGTGCACGTTTTTATCCAGCATGGCAGGGAAAAACAAGAGGTATGTCTAATTCGTATCTATTTAATCTCGTTTAAATAGTAGCATATTATTGTTTGTGTTTCAGTACAGATAACTTGAATGTATACGGGGGTGTCAAACCCTAGTTCACTTCATAAGACGCTTCTTTGGTGAAATTTAACGGTAGCTAGCTAGTTTTAGCCACTGAAGATGGGTCAGAACTCATAGGTTTTGTATTAGTTTAGTATATACATTTTCAGTTTTGTGTCTTCAGTGTTCAGTGATTTTATTGATGCGTTTTTTTAAATCGCGTTCATGATGTATTACATTTTAATAGAAGGGAAATTATCTGAACATGCAGCATTGATAACATACTGTGTTAAAAATATGTATGCATTTGAACCTAAGAGCTCTTTTTTATTTTAAATAATTAATATATTGAAATAGGAGTAATTACAGAAGGGTTTGAACAATTTACTTTACAGATAGACCTAAATATAATCGTTTTCGTGTAAAGATGCTCATGTCATATATCATACTGACTGTAGTATTGTGCTATTATGTGTCATCTATTAAAATTAAATGTTTTATTTTAGGCATATTAAGTCTCATTTCATTTTAATCAGTTGTGATGTATTCAGTTATTCAATAAAAATATATAATAGAAGATAATTTAGTTAGAACTAATTAATATATTATTATTAATTATAAAAATATGTTTACTTTCTACAGCACTTAGTCAATCCAAAGAGTGCTAGACGAGCAAATGTAATCAAAACAAGCTAGTAAAAGATACAATCCCAAACACATAATTCCTACTATGGCCACAAATATCTAGACTAACTGTAAACAAAAAAAAGATTGGATTCTTTCATGATATCTATGTTATGTTTTTGCAGAAAGTTGGAGGATCTCAGTGTGGATGAGTTCATGTTGTCTGGGTTTGATTCTGATGAGGAAGATGACTGTGAGGATGAAGAACCCTCACCAAAGAAAGGAAAGAGCAAAACGCCTGCACTTCAGAAAACGTAAGCAAATGCTTTACATTCAGATGGTCATTCCAGTGTTCTGGGCCCAGTTTTTCAAAAGGTTTAATTCGGATAAAATTGATCCGGATTTAGTCATCCTGTTTTTGCGATCTGTGATCTCGTAATCCAGAGATAATTTTTGAGCCAGTTTTTCAAATCAACATCGGATTGGATCAATCTGTATCGGATAGGAACTTTTCAGGATCACTAAATCTGGATTACCAGTGCTCATTCAGGATAGGAAATCACAATCTATTGATACGTAAAGAGCAACAAGTAGAATAGCCAGTGTGGGGTCAATATAACTTTATTTTTATTTCAAAAGATAACACACACATTTAAAAAAAAACTTAAAACAAGAAAAACCCCAGCCCATCCTTGTACAGCAATCCGCTCATCTGAGACCTACAACACAAACACTGTACATTTGAGGATATTTAACAAGTTTCAAATATAGATGTATTGAATTAAAAAGGCCTTAATGTCAAAACCTCCACAATAATTTCAGACTTCCTCATCTGATGTGGAGAGAGCAGCTTGTCTGAGCGTAGCCTTTAGGAGTCAGATCTCAAGTCTGGCTTTTTTTTTTGCTGCAGTTTGGTCAGAGTCAGTTGTTCCTCTGCCAGACGAAGCTGTGCTTCTGCATTTTCAGTCTCAATTGCAATTGTTGAAAAGGATTTCAGAAATCAGTCATTGCCATTCTTTGCCTTTCTTTTGGTTATTCTGTAATCATTGCATGCATCACTAATAAATATTCTAAAAACAAAAATAGTTTTCATTGTGATGAATTTATCAATTAGTGACAGAATAAAATGTATTGTTTTTGGTCAATTTTGACAGCTGTATGGGGGATTATTTTATGAGGCCAAACTCTTTCAACTTTGCTGTAGGACTATACTAATAGGCTGAATATGTTAAAGCCTACCTAATCACTGTAGCCAGACGGATGAACAAATACAAATAAAACCTTATGAATGAATATATCTTGTAAGATACTGCATGATCCAAATATAGTATTATTTGATACTTTTTTTTAACGTTTTCATTACATTTTTGGGCATGAACTCCATGCTGAATCCACCCATCTGATGGGATCAGTGTTATCCAGATTTTTTGGGATCAAAGTGATAAAATCCTATAAAAAACTCAAACTAATGGTTTGATCTGGATCAAAACCAATATTGGATTACGTGATCTAATCCGATTATGTAATCCATTTTTTCTTTTGAAAAACCCATTTTCAAGATTTGATCCAATCCCTTATCCAAAATCCTAGTGGATTACTTTTGAAAAAACCGGGCCTGGGGTTTATTC